TGGCGAAGCTAAATCGTGCAAACAGTTGAGTGGTCAATAAATTCAAAGTTAATTTTCTTAATTTTCTGCATCTCTGGAAACTTTTCCATCCATGAGGGCAAGCCGTCTACCTAAGTTTTTTATCGTCTTTTTTGGTTTCTGGATTTTAATGATGATCTATAGTCTATTATCTAAAAAATTACTTCGAAGTTGATCACAATTCAGACATTTAGGAATTCATAAGGTAGATATTTTTGTTATAATGCAGTTAATTTTAGGAACATCGTGTAGATGGTAAAACACTAACCCAATTTGCGTGACAATCCCCTCCAAGAATTTAATGATATCATCTTAAAATATTGCTTGGTAAATGCTAAGCATATAAAATTTATTAATCAACTTAATTAACTTTTGGGAAAAATTGTTAGAAAGATATTTCGTCCCTGAAATACACTCCAACGCTAAAAAATTAAAATAAAAAATTCGATATTACAATTTTTTTATAACTTCTGTAAACTAATAATGTTCTGCATATTTTAGCTGGAATGTATCGGACATCAATTTGCGTCGAAGGGGGAGCTAAAGTTTGATTATAGATTTTCTATGTTTACCTAAGATAACCTTAAAATGCTTGCGAAATTTCAAACCATTCAGTTTTGAAATTTCAAAATTAAATTCATTGTAAAATATGTTATACAATTTTGATTTTTTCTCCAAAAAACTATGTCTAGAATAGAAACTCAACACGGATTCATAAACCACAAGTATAGAAGTATGTTATTTGATAAACGGATAAATTTTGATTAACGATTTGCAGTGCTCTCGATAACCTGAACACGTTTGCAAGATTTCAGAGCATTCAGTTTGCAGCTTCAAAGTTAAATTGTAAAATGTTGTTCTACAATCTTGATTTTTCTTCTAAAAATCTGGATGTCTACGGCAAAAAAATCAACACGGATTTGTAAGCTACATGTATAAGAGTATGTTATTTTATAAAATTTAAATAACATTAGAACAAATTTGAGGTGACGTCATCACGTTTTTGATGGGGATGATTAGACAAAGGTTCGTGTCTGACCTTCTACATGATACTTACAACACACAGATAAAATTTAACAACAATCTGTCCTGTAGTTTCGGAAAAACTACAAAACCGACTGCTCTTAAATCTTGCAAAATATGGTAAATTGGGGAAAACGTTATATCTTTATCTCCTCCAAAAATCTCAAAAATTTTGCCAGAAAAATATTATCCAAAATGTGCAAAATTTTATGTACATAGTACAGTTTTTCAGTGTACCCATATTTTTTAGAATTGCAGAACTTATTAGAAAAAATAACAAATGAAGCAATTAATTTTAGTGATTACAGCAAACACGGCTAATCTTATTTTATAACATTTATATAATTTTACACGTATGTATAAAAGCCTGGTCAGAATTAATATTCCTGAGTTTACTGTTTACAGGAACCTTCCTCGATCGTTCGGTATACGATAACACTATACGTTTATTACCCCACAACATCAAAAACACAAAAATTAAGAGAGTTTAGTTAGATTTGTCTAGATAATGCCAACGTGGTTGGCGAAATGCGTAAACATTTTTTGTGCTGTTGGTATTATGGGCTAATAAACGTTATAGTGTTTACTGTTTTCGTGTAACACAGTTTCAGGCCTGTTAAAAAGGAATTTGCAACCTACAATAACTGGAAAATATTGTTACGTAATCTGATATAAATTTCGTGTTGCGGAATTTTAAAAATAATCTCTGCAAAAAGAGTAAAAACGGGGTAGCGATATTTAAAAAAATGGTCTTGATATGCTGCGAAAATGCCAGGACCAAGTTCAGATATTGTCGTAGACCTTAATTTATAGATTTTTTTAATACATTTGTTTTCCTAAAGGAATACAAAAATACGAATATACAAAATACATTACATTTTATGGACATTTATAAAAAAAGTTGCAAAAACTTGTCTTTGTATATCTACAAAACAATTCGGATCACGGCGGTTCCGCCAAATCGATATACCTCAGGCTCACATATTTTATATTATAAAACCTCCAGATCTACCTGTTAAACATTTTCTTTTCCATGCAGTCAGTGCTGTCATAAATTTTACAATTATTTTTTTGTCGCCTAACAAATTTAATAAAGAATTATGGACGCAATTTTCTCGAACAACCCCCATAAAGACTAGCAAGAAATTGATTTAATTTGTGTGGATCATGTTATATCGAGGTCAGATCTTGCATGACCAAAGTTGTGGTGGTGTGCATGCCGTCCTGGACTGTCTGACGCAGGCGACTTCTTGCTCGTTATCAGACAAATCTGACTATAAAAGAAGGGAGAATTGAACGTACGAAACTCTGGCCTAAGTCACGATTTTCGAGGTATTAGGAACACCGGTCCGTAATTATAGCCTTTTATGTTACTGCTAAAATAGTTAAATGTGAAAATATATCAAAACATGTTCAGGGGGCGTTTAAAATCCAATTTCTTAAAAACGGCTACCGCAATCAAATTTTATCACATCGGTTAGAAAGTATAAATGAACACCATTAGTGAAAAAGTAAAAAACTGATAATACGTTTCTATATACAGGTGTCCGAAAAGTCGCGAAAAAACTTAAGGATATATTATCAAGTGATGTTGATAAAGTACGAAAAAAATACTAAAAACATCCTCGATGCAGATCAATTTTTACTTCTCGAGCGTAAGCTAAGGATGTATTGTAACTGAGTCCATTGGGTGACTGGATTTTCATATTTTCTTGATGTACTCTCTAGTGTACACAAAAATAGATCTCCGGGTTCCGTCTGTCTGTCTATCTGTCCGTCGTCCGTGTAGATTTTTGTTAGACAAATAATCTCCGAAACTACCTAACTGATTGTTGTCAAATTTTATGTGTATTATGAATGTCATATAGATGGTAACAAAACTTTGTCTAATCATCCCCACCAACTACGTAGGAACGAATAAGTGATTTTTAATTTATTGTGAATATCATTAACCTCCTGCTGGATGTAAACTGTGGATAAATAAGGAGTCTCCAGTATTTTTATGTCAGTATAAATATTAATTCTCGCAAAGGATACTTTTTTTGTTGAAATTATCCCTCTTAGAGAACAGCAACCCGACATGGGATTAAATAGGTCCTAACTGCTACGTCGGGTTTGAATTAATGTCCTATAATTTAAGCATGTGTAATTAATTTAGTGCCTTGTTAAATTCAAATTTACATAATCCAGAAAAGCATCAATAAACACGTATAGTGGCAACAAAAGTGTCGTCAAACAGACAAGCCTGAGTAAAGCTTTAGTAAGTTTTTAAGGCAGGAATCATTGATATTCGACACGGTTTCTGGTTCAACCTTAAATAACTGCAATGTAATGCAATATGTTTGACGTCTTGGCTTTTGTGCTCTTTCCCACCCCATATGACGGCGCTCCCTCGTTCTGGGGGTTCGATAGCTGTCATGGTGTGGCGCCTCTGCACCACTCGTGCGGATCATTCCCACTTCATCAACAATATCTCTGTGTGTAATCTAACGCCTACGTTTCCATCCGAGCAGATTTTATCACATCGTTGCGTTGAAAAATAAAATATTCCCCCATTTATAAAATTAACGGCAGAAGAAGAGAACAAAGTAGCAAATTGCTGTGTCAAAAAAGGATCGATGGAGCAATTAACGCTGGTGTTCTGAAACAATTAGGTCGTTTTATCACTGTGGCTTTTGACTTTTTACAAAAAATTAAGGTCAGATGAAAAAACTAACTTCTTAGGGGGTAAATATTTTATATTGTTTCGTTTTAATCTGACATTTGAATCAGTTTGGTTTAAAATATGTGGTGATAGGCTAGTATCTGACACAAACGGCCGAGTGGAAAGCATGACATGTTTCAGAAATTTGAAATTAAAAGTTGAGAAATAAGAGTAGTTTGGAATTATCTGGCAGTATCAGCAGTTCAAGGTTTAATTCTTACATGCGAGGATTGTATCCATCATGCAAGCAATAAATCTTGGAAAAAAATTGCCAAAAGATATTAGTGTAATAGGTATAATAGTTATTACACTTTTTCACATTTTAGATTCGCCTATTTTGCGTGAAATTATTTATGGTGGCAATTTTTCAAACAAAGTAATATTATATTGAGACAAAAATAAAAAACATTATCCTCTTCCTGAACACGAATTTTCTGTCGTAACCTGAGTTATATTGCATTCATTTAAAGCGCTTGATTTGTATTTCTCAGAAGGCAATTTTCTCGTTTATACACACGCAATGCAATCTCTCTACCGAAACTTTTATAATTTTTAAGGCATTACAGGAAAATTCTAGTAATTTTCATGAGTTAGATTTATAGGTAGACGTTAGAGTGTGAAAATGTGCTTACCAGCTTACAATAAAAAATTCTGTTTTAAGAGAATCGTGCTCTAAAAAAAATACGTAGAAATTTCAGACATCCCAAACAAATTTTACCATTTGATTGTGCAACTGATTGATGGTGATTTTTAGAGATATGTTTTTAATTAAAACAATCATATAGGTTCAAAAAATTCTAAATGGCTTGCAAAATTTTAAAGAACTGTAACAGAAGTAAAAAATTGGTCTGAACGGTTTGGATAGTAAGTAAAATTAACTTAGCAAATTTTTAAGGTGATCTTATCAAAATTTGTAAAATTTTGTTGTATATTTTGATTTTTTTACAAAAACCTACTCAGACAGGATTAAAAATTGGTTATATATATTGATAAAAACCTACATTTTAATTACCGATTTACGAAATTCATGCTACATTTAAAACGTTGACAAGCTTCCAGAACAACAATCAGGCCAGTATTTTTGGAAGTTACGTGTCTAATAAAATGGTAAACATACAGATAGCGATGAAACATTGCGAAACGCTAAATTCGTTGACACGATAATGAAGAACTAAAATATTCATGATTTCACTGTGCTTAAATTGACATGATTTTTATATATAACTTTTAACTAAACGAGGTTTTTATTTTTCAGATCCATATCAAATGTTTGGACCCACGAGCAGTCGTTTAGCGAGCTCAGGTGAGTAATTATTCAAATAAAAAAATTGTTAAATTGAGATTCCATATTTTAATTTATTCACAAAAATAATGTTTTTAATGCTTTCTCGATTCATTAATTACAAACAGTAGCAGCAATTTCTAACTGAAATTCTTAGAAATAATAATAATAATATTCTTAAATGCCGTGTTAAAACTAAAAAGTCATCAACAATATGTAGTAATTGTAATTCGAATTTCTAGTGTTATCTGCTTATAAAAGGTGGCTTATTTTTTTAATAAAATATATAACACTGATATAGCAAAGCTGTTATATTATTATCAATTACGTAAGGCATAGCTAGAATTTTTTTCCAAACACTGTCGCTAATAGGTTTTCTTAGCTTTCGGAAAATTCTTTCATAATACTTAATTTTATTAGATATTCACATAATTCTTTTAAATTTATAGAGGTGATCAAAAAATTACGCACTAACTCTGTGACACGTTAGGGACTGCTTATTGCACAAAGAAAAAAATAATGTACTACTTAGTGTTGGGTACATGAAATCTATCGGACTTTAATTATTGAAAATAATTTTGGAAGTATGATGTATTTTATTCTTCATTTCTTCATTTTATAAATATCACAATAACCTTAAAAAAATGGACTAATGTTATTTAGACAGAATTTCCCTCATCCCTTAAATAAAACCAAATAATACAGTTTTTCCGAAAAATTATAAAATTTGGTTTTACAAAATTTTATTTATTTTAAGATAACCTCTAAAATAAAAAAAAAATGTCAAAAGTTATGTCGTCCCTGAAGCACATTGTTACAAATCCCGCTTCTTTAAAAAATTAAAAAAATAGATTTTTCGAATTTTTATTTATGATAATCCCTATACATTAAAATAAATATAGATAAATAATATAAGATAAATATAAGAAATAAACCGTAGGTATAAGAAGGGAAATGACATCCTATAAATTTGTTTTGAAACCTTATAATTTTTACTTCCCGAGCGTAAGCTAAGGAAGTATAGTAAGCGAGTCTATCGGCCGAATTGCCACTTTAATATTTTCTTGACGTGTCTAGACCTAGAGTACGGAAAAAGTGATCTCCCGTTTCTTTCTATCCGTCTGTTTGACTGTTTGTCTCTCTCTCTGTATGTCTTCTATCTGGTGTCTGAATCCATTTTTATTAGACAAGTAATTTCCGAACCTACTGTACCGATTGTCGTCACATTTTGTATGTACGAGTACATTAGAAATATAATGTAGACGGTTAAACACTACTAAAATTTGGATAATCATCCCCACCACCAATGGGATAACGTCATATCCAAAATTTATAATACATAGTCGAATACTTCATTTGTGAAAAAGTTGTCTAAAAATTCTGAAAAGATTCAAGGTTATAGATCTTGACGTCCTGATTCCTCAAATATAGCGTGTTTAGCGTCACGGAGCAATATTTTCAAATAATTCGGAGTGAAATTTAAATTTTTTGAAATTTTTAAAAATTGCTATATTTCAATTTCTGGAAAAATGTTGCGAGTTATCGAGAAAATGAGGTCGGAAGTGACTTCTGTGGCCCAAAATCTACGAGATAATGTGTTTAGTTAAACTTCGAAAATTGTCGAAATTTGCATAAGGAAAAATTTCATTTTTGAAAAAATCATCTAAGAATTCTCAAAAAATTCAGAGTTGTAGATCCTTCACGTGCTGATTCCACAAATACTGCGTGTTTACGGTTACGGACTAATATTTTTGTTCGAATGTATCTGTCCAATGTTGCTTAAGAACACTTTATTTTTGTTTAATAAAATTAAGGTTTATTTCTTGAAGTTTGTTTTTAGCAATGAATGAGATTATTATTCAATTCCCGTTCAGATTTTTGGGAAATTCGCTGATCCGAACAAATCGATAATACGAACGTCTCTTTTCCCCAATTGATTCGGATTGTCGAGGTTGTACTGTAAAAAGTTTTTTTAAATTTAATAAAATAAGATACGCCTGCACTTGTGGTGTGTGAATCCGTGTCGAATTTTCACCCTAGACATCCAGAATTTTTGGAAAAAATTCCAAACTGAATAACAATATTTTGCAATATAACTTTGAAACTGCAAACCCGATTGCTCTGAAATCTCGGAAATATTTTAAGGTTATCGTAATCATGGTAAATCGTTAAGCCAAATTTATTCGTTTATCCTTGCCCAAAAAATTGAAGACGTCATCTGAAAATTTTCCCCAATAAATCCTATCCAAAATGTGCAAAATATGATGAGTCTATACTTGTGATTTATCATTGCATTGAAAGTTTTTAAATTTCTAATACAGGGTGACTCATAAAAATTAACGAATGAGTCAATTTATTTTATTGATTAATTGGGGAACGGCTCACTCCGTTTTCCCGAAAACTTGAGAATACAATACTGTTACGAGCTTTTCGAAAAAGCTTGATTTGTTTTATAGTATTTCAGGGGCAAGGGAAGTTCTGTCGAAATAACTTTGGACCAATTTTATAAAATTTGTCTTTGATCGTTGTATTTTCAGCTTCAACTTTCAAATTGAGGGTAATAAAAATCACATCTAAGACAATTCTTCTAAAATCCATAACTGTCTTTGATCATGTTTTAGTTATTTAATAAAATCAATTATTACCGATTTTTCTTATAAATTTATACTTATTATATTTGAAATCATATTAAAACGTTCATATTTTTTTGACCTTTCATGATCCTTAAAGTACTAAAAAAGTCGTCTCTCGTTTCCCTCTGTGTCAATTTTTATTAGATCGATAATCTCGGAAACCACTTGCCAAGATAAGACTGATTTTGGCAGATGACCCACTCTACAAAGAAAACAAAGGGTTGGTGGGCGGGGCTAGTACCTTTTCTTAGAAGGGTAGGTCAGTTGCCAAAATGAGTCTTATTTTGGCAAATACTAGCCTAACCTACCCGCCTTTTATTTTCTTAGAGGCTAGGTTAATTGGCAAGTACTAGCAAATTTCGACCCATTTTCAACGATTTTCGAAATTTAACTAAATACTTTTTCTTGTAGATTTCGGGACGCAGAAGTCACTTCCGGCCTCATTTCTTCTACAACTTTAACCTTTTTTCCAAAATTAAATAATTAATTCAGTGCATTGAAAAATCAGTTTTTAAAATTTCAAAAAATTCAATACAACACCTATAGAAAGAAGATCTTGCGTCATTTTTGCAAGTAGGTGCATGTTTTCAACTTCAGTTCGGATTGCAGAGTTTTTGTTCGGATTAAAGAGATATCGACTTCAACTAGCCACTCTTCGGATTACTGGATGTTCGGATAATGTGGGTTCGGATTATAGAGATTATGCTGTATTTAATTAGAAAAATCCCAGAAAAACCAAACAGATGTTCAGATGTTCTTAGACTTTATTTTTTTATAATGAAACCTGAACATGCTCGCTGCACTCGCATATATAAACGTTGTTTTTTTTTTTAAGTTTAGCCCGACCATCATCAATATTTAAAAAAATATCCTAGCGAAATTGTTTGGGTTCAATTAGGCTTTGTTGAAATAATAAATCTGTTATTGTCTTAATTAGTGAAGCTATTTGGGTTGTTATAGTACTCCTATTAAATAATTATTTAATAGGAGTACTATATATATTATATTATTTATTTATTATAATAAATAAATCTCTAGATTTTTGAGAATATACCCTTGGAATACGAATACAGAGAGCACGTTCAGATCTCTCCAGCTCCAGTTATCGCTATTGTTTTTTTTTTATTTACTTTTTGTGCAGACGATAATTACATTTTAATTGTAACCGGGTCCGTCAGCCAACTCTAGAGGGTATGTTATTTGGCAAAATCAGTCTTGACTTGGAAAGTACTAGCCCAGCCCACCCACCCTTTATTTTCTTAATCTGGCAAAATCAGTCTAATCTTGGAAAGTACTAGCTTTTTTAAGATATGACTGATTTTGACACTTTTGATATATTTCAACCATTTTCGAGAATTAGCTAAACATTTTCTTGTAGAGTTACACATCCAGATCTCATTTTCGGCTTCATTTCTTCGAAAATTTATTCCAAATTCATCAATTAAAATAAAGTAGACCAAAAGCTATAAGGTTATATGATCATCATAAAAGTAGTTGACTGCAAATAAATACCTCCTTTGTGTGGTTCGCAGTAAGCTTACCGGTTGGCAATAAATCGTGTTCTAAACATTTCTTGCTCACATTTAACAGGGTCAGCTTTCAAAGCGACTGGTTATTTCGGAACCCTTTGCGGCTGCAGGTAGTATCCGATTAACGGAGTGGTGGATTTCGATATTTAGTGAGAACCTGAACGAAACGACAACAGCCGGTCGAGCTGCAGTGGACAGGTTATTTACTACCCCAAAACCTTTTCTATTGTAAACAACTTAACTTCGACACAATGGGATAATTTTATGATGGCCATATAACCTTATAGCTTCTGGATTACTATATATCAATTTTTATAGTTCCAGTAGCAAATAGTATAGCTAACAAAAAATTTACGATTAGCGCTTTTTTTTTAATTTTTTCACAGACTAGATTAGTTTCCACTCCCACTCCATGGAAGGACATAATTAGCCCCGCCCACCCATCCTGCCTTCATTTCAGTGATTAATTTTCTCCGCTCTGAATATAATGAATGATCTTATAGTGAGCAGAAATAAAATTAGTCTTTAAATGACAAGACTGGGGGTGTTGTAAAAATTTGTGTGTATATTAGGAATATCATATAGATAATAAAACGCTAACCAAAATTTGACTAATCATTCCCACGAAGAATTCGGTGACAAGAGTTCAAAAGATCCTATTTTAAAATGTTTTACAATAATATGTTGAATGATTAAGTAATCTTAATTGTTTCAAATGGAAAAAATCGCTAGAAATATAAGCATAACCTAGCCCTCTATCAATGCATACATATGGTTAAATTTGGAATGATTGATAATTCTTTTGGAGGGGCGATTTATCCTATGAAGCAGGTGAGGAGGCAAAATCTCAGCAATTAAT